TTTTTCTCATATTGTTTTGTTTAGTCACAGCAGTGGCGTACGCAGGGGGGCCAAGGGACCCCCCCCCTTGAGACGAAAAAGTCCTGGAGGGGGGTACAGGGAAAAATATTTTCGCGTGATAAAACTTTTTTTGCGCCATGGCGGCCCCCGTGCGAAGTTGGGCCCCCTCCTTGAAAAATTTCTACGCACGCCACTGAGTCATAGTACAAAAAGGCTCTTAATTAGAAACCGTCCGGTTGATTTCGGACTAGAGGTGTAAGCCGAGGGATTGAGCGGCGGCGGCGCCTACTAGACTCCATATTTTTCTACACCGGCGGTGGCGGTGGCTTTAATTTCAAAATTCTTTTTCCATGGCGGCGGCACCTTTGACAACCCAAAAAAGACGTTTTCGCCCCTAAAATGCGAGAAAATGACCGATCGCATATGTATCGATGGCAATGGCGGCGGCGCATCATACTACTATCAAAAGTTTTCGCTCGTGGCGGCGGCGCAACGGCTGAACTAACTTTTTTATAGCGGCGGCGGCTAATAGGTTCGTAAAACTATCTACGATTCCATGGCGGCGGCGCAGCTGGATGGCTTACACCTCTATTTCGGACCCGACGAGTTCTACTTCTAATTTTTACTAGTATCACTTTTCGAAAAGGTTTTCTGATTAATGTTATGAAGAGGTACAAAGACTTTTATATCATTAAGTAAAACATATACCAGAGTACATGTAGTCCTTATTTAAGACACTAAAAGGTGTAGTTTCAATTTGTTATCTGATGTCCGTCTGGTTTTTTAACGCTTTTCGTGTTCGCGACACTCTCGTTTTTTGATAAGAGATTTTAAATATTCTAATTTATTTTTTAGTATGATAATGCAATAGTTTTTTCTGATATGAATGGTCTTGAATTACTTATTCAATTACTTAATACAACAAATACATATAATGATGATATTCGTTCTTTAACAAGTCTTGCATTAGGTGCAGCTTTTCAAGGGTAAAACATAATGAAAGAATAACAATTTTTTTTTTTTTATAATGGACATCTTGTTTTTTTAGAAATCCAAAAGTTCAATTAAAAGGATTAAATCTTGGTTTTGTTCGATATTTATTACATTTATTAAATATTGAAGCAAATAATAATATTAAATATCGTCTTCTATTTACATTATCAACATTATTAAGAAATTTTCCACAAGCACAAATAAATTTTCTTGAATATGGTGGAATTGAAACAATAATTAATATTTTCGAACAAAATAATTCAAATAATAAAATAAAACTTAGAGCTATTCAACTTATGAATGATCTTATTATAGAAAAGGTAAAAAAGAAAAATAATACAAAAACAAAAAGATTTATTTCTATATTTTATAGGATCAAGCTATGAATGACAAACAACATATCTATGAAAAGTAAGTTATTTAATTTATATTAAAGACTATAGAAAATGTTTTGAATAGTATATTATCCGTTAGAAGTCATTCTCCTTTTCGATATTAATAAAGTATAAAAAGAAGAAGTTATGCAAGATGTCTCAAGGCTATTAGCACTGTTAGAAAATTATATCATATTTTCTTCTTAAGGACAAAATCAGAACAATAAATTTACCTCTAATCAAGACCGAAAAAGGATTGATTCTACTCATTATTAAATAGAAATCTGAAAAATTTTATATAAATATAAGTCATAGGAATTACTCACATTTTACTTGTTTGAATAGTTAATAAATTTTGACGAATGAAGTCTATTATTTATATAGAAAGGTTATTGTAAATCGATTGAGATCTTATGATATACCACTATGTAGTATATAAATTTTTATAATGATTCATCAATCTCTTCAAGAATTATGATCATTATGGAACAAAAAAAACCTTTCTCTATATCTTCAAAATGACATACAGATAATCATTTTGTTATTGCCAATAGATTAGACTTCGATTGTATAAGAAAGTATCTCAAATCAATCATGTATCTAGTAATAAATAAGACAAATGAGAGGATAGCGACTTTTGTCCATAACTATACAATTTCGCCATATACTTAAGAAACATAATATAATTCAAAGACAAAAATAATCTAATTATAAACACTTTACTAATTATACATATAAGATTATCTATTATTACTGATTGATATAAAAATTTATAATTTTATATTTTTAGTATTCATATTCGTGATGAATTAGTTAAATATAATTGGTGTTCATATATATCTCATTATTTAATATCAATTGATCTTAATGATTTTGACCAAATTGATAAATTACTCATAGCAATGATATCATTAACAGATGTATGTCGAAATGACTTTGTTTCATTAGTACCCATTCTTGACAAACTTAATGATATTTACACAACAACAAATCCTAATGAATATTCAACATATATGAATATTTTAACTAATATACAAAAACTTCGTAAAAATTTATTACAAATATCATCTGATTTATAATTAGATTCATGTCAGATTTGTTGTTAATTTTATGTTTTGTTTTATTATAACGTTATATTTGCTTGTTTTTGATTTTGAAGAAAATAAAAAAAAAAAAGAAAGTTCTATGAATTCTATTAGTCGTAGTAGAGAGAAAAAAAACAACGAGTTTATTATTATTATTATTATTAAAAGAATGTCGTAATTGTTAGATATTATGACTTGCTTCTTCTTTTTTTTTTTTTTCTTCCATTTATTGATTTGTCAATAAATGCTATTAGCCTTGGAATATATGCTTGACTAAAAAATGTAGCAAAAGAAATAAAGATCTAACTGTAACAAGAAAAAAGAAAAGAATCTATTATTGTATTGATACTAATAATTTTTCCTATTTGTTTCAAGGCAAATCATTCATTTTCTCTTTATTCTTCTTTTGTCTTCTATTTTTAATACCAATAATATGTAAACTAAATCGTCTGTCAAGAATAATATGTACAAGAGAAAAGAGCAAATCTTTTTCATCATGACCAGATTAGGCCTCTTTGTCTATTAGTATACACACACACACAACAGGAAGATAGATGAGATCGTTTTAGATCGATATGTATCGACGCGTTTCCATCAGAAAAAAAAATGTATATGTTAAGAATTACACATATGCTAACAAATCTCACACAGAGGAAAAGAGAAACAAGAAGAAAAATACTCCCTGTTAATATCCACAGCGGTTATCCATATTTCTTCTCTTCTTTTCTTACGTTTGGCGTAACATAGCACCCAAAAAAGGCAATTTTTCCCTTAATAACAACAACAATATCAAGAAGTAAGAAAAAAAACGAGAGAGAGAGAGCGAGAGCGAGAACAAGGGATATAGACTCTGAGTGTTCCTTTGCTTGTACTATTTCCCAGTAAGAAGCTGCTTGTGGTACTACATCCAACTAGATTCAACATCTTAGACTTTTTCAAGCTCAACAATGACTGACGTAAGTATTAATATACTAAAGTAAAAAGAAGTTGATGAATTATTTTTTGTTTTGTTTTAAATAAATCTTATCTAAGTTATTAAATAAAAATATACATATTAAATTATTCTAGGGAGAAGTAAGTTTAACATAGCATTGTATATATATATCCATTCCTATATACACATTTATTAGTATTCGTCCTATCGCACATATGAATCTTTGATTTCTTTCCTTCTTTTTTTTTTTATTCTATGGACATTCTCAGTTATTTTTTTCATGACGCATGTTAAAAAATTATACATTCATATTTTTCATGCTCACACCTCATTTTGTTTCCTAATACTATTCACCATATGATTTATAAAGGACTAAACATTATAATTATTTGATTAATAATTAATCAAAAAAAAACAGAAGAAAATATTATAATTCTTTTTTTTCTCTCCAACAGAAAAAATCAAAAAAGAAAGCTCAACGTGCCACTAGTAATGTATTTTCAATGTTCGATCAAAAACAAGTACAAGAATTTAAAGAAGTATGTATTGAAGAAAAATATTTCAATACAAAAATAATTTTGCTTTTTTTTGTGTATTTCATTAGGCCTTTAATCTTATGGATCAAGATCGTGATGGTACAGTTAGTCTGGATGATCTTAAAGAAGTATATGCTTCACTTGGTAAAATAAATAAAGCGAAATTAAACTTTTGTTTTTAACAAAAAGAAAAAAATATTTCTTTTCTTTTATAGGAAAAGCACCAAAAGATACTGAATTAAAAGCTATGCTTGAAGAAGCACAAGGTGCAGTTAATTTCACTATGTTATTAACATTATTTGGAGATCGATTAAATGGTACCGATGAAGAAAATGTTATTTTAAATGCATGGAAAAATTTCGATCCAGAAGGACATGGATTTATTAATCAAAAAAGGTAAAAAATTATATTTTTAAGTAATATATGAAATCTTTTCTTTTAGTCTACGAGATGTTCTTACTGGTGAAGGACGTCCAGATGAAAGTAAATAAATATTTCTATTATATTTATTGTATTAATTAATTGTTTTTTCTTTTAAATTTTAAGGATTAACCGATATGGAAGTAAATAAAAATTTTTATTTTTATTTTTTTTTTTGATTAAAATTATTTTTCTTTTTTTTAAGTTCAGTCAAATGCTTGATGGTGCTCCAATAGATCCAAAAGGAAATCTTGATTATGGTGCATTTACACGACAGATCAAACGTGGCAAAGAAGATGAATAGATGATGATTTATGTTAGACAATGCAAACGATTTTCTTTTTTTTTATGTCTTGTTCAATCACTTTTTTTATCGTCATTATAACAAAGAAACAAAAGCAAATAAAATGCACGCTCAGCCTTCTCTCTCTCTCGTTTTCTTCTTTTTTTTCCCTCTCATAATGCACACACACCTTTATATCATAATATTACCGATATTTTTTTTTTTCTTCATGTGTTTTAACAACGAATAAAAAAAACCGAGATAATTATACTCATACTGTGATTTTCTGATTGAGAAAAAGAAAAAAAAAAATTGAAACTAAAATCTGAATACATTTTAAGTATAACAAAAAAAAAATATTTTTGAAGTGTTACGATGCAACAAATACATACAGAACGTCGACAACAGACAAATGATCGATTACAAAAACAGTTGCCTGTTAATACAATCAAAGAAACAACAAAACATATTCATTATAATCGTGTCAAACAAATTTCACAATCAGCACCTAACCGTTTTGATAAGTTAACAGATATAAATCAGCAACATTGGCCATTACGACGTTTACATACTGATCTTGACGATTTTGATACACATTGTTCTCTTTCATCGTGTCCTACGTATTCATCTTTATCAAGAAATTCACCAGAGACTCGTGTAAGTGAATACTTTTTAAATGATCAATCGGTCAAATTTCGAAACAAAAAAAGAAAAAAATTTTCTTTTTCTTTTTTCTGTCTGAATGATTACTTTAGAGCGCAGTATACTTCTACTTTTTTTAAATTTATAAAGTGGTGGCGACAAAAAAAAAATTTAACAACACTATGTTTCTAATTAGCTAGAGTTCAAATAGAGATTTTAATAACCAATAGAATTTTCAATCTAATATATTCTATAGTAAGATTTCATATATGAACTATGATGGCAAAGTTAAGATTCCTGATCTTAAGACTAACAGTGATTAGGACTAAAATATTCTTTATGTCAAATATAAGAAAAATGCCAACGGAAATATCTAATGACATAAAAATTAATTGTGAAGAATTTTGGTTAAGTTAATCTCGAAGATATTTCTTAACCCGATGTACAGTTTACATTTTGACTTGATATCCCATACGATTTGCGCTCTTGTCCGGGTTACCGATGAATACCGCATATTATGCCGAACAGCTCAACGATAATTTTTATTCGGTTTGAATTACACATATCTTTATTTATTACATAAAAATTTAAATTTCAAAAGTAAAATAGAAAACTTATAAAAATTTTATTCATAGGAGTGTGCAACACAAATAACAACATTAACACCAACTGAACTTGTCGAAGACAATCAAGATATATCAATTGATTCTTCATTACCTATTGATTCTAATCAAGTATTAGTTATTGACAAAACTCCAACTGAAGAATTTGAACTTATGCCTATATCAAGTGGTTTTGGTTATTATCCATATAATTATCCAACAACAAAAAGAGCACAACGTGTTGAACCTCAAATTATATCTCGTGCTCCTCAGGTAAAAAAATATTTTCTTTTCAACTTTGTTTTTTATCTCATTTACTGAATAACTATGTATAGAATTAGTTTTATTTATTGTTCAAAATATTTTACAATACATAAAAAAAGGACAAAGGAAAAAAAAAAAAGAAATTCTATTGAGAGAAAGAGAGGAACATTGACATTTTTCTTTTTCGTAAATAGTAAAAAAAAAAACAATTTTAAGTCATTAAAAAAGAAAAAAAAAAAAGACGAAGTAGTAGTACATAAGAGCAGTCAGTCAAATTTGTTTTCTCAAGTAGTTAATGTAATAGAAAACGAGAAAGAAAAAGGCTAAGAAAAATTTTTATATGTCAAAAAGTTATCGCGATCAGTTTCGAGACAAAAACCAAAATGGTTTCAATAATAATTTTGGAACGAAATCAACTGGTAAATTACCACGACCACGTCCTACTGCTGTCAAACACCCATCACCACGTTCTGATACATATGCATTACCAACAAAACGAAATGATGTAAATCCTCGAATATCAAAAGATGATTTAATAGACAAAAATTCTCGACGTACTATACCACCGAAAGAACGTTTTACTAGAAATACTTCAACACCACCTGAATATAGACGTAGAACTAATGTTGCTCGACCTATACAAAAAAATCGTAATTCACCCGATGATTATCCTCGCAAACCTTTACGCTTATCTAATAAACAAAACGGTGTTTATCGTTCTTCTTCACCTTCTGCTTATTACCAAAAATCTTCTTCTCTTTCTCGAGATATATCTCAAAGACCACGACGTATGCATGTAGGAAACAATGAATATGTCATAGAACGTCGTAGACAACCATCTGATTATGTTTATGATGATTATCGTACGGTAAGTAATGAAAATAATTAATTCTTTTCCCGCTTTGATTACTAATGTTTATAAAGCAGAGATTAACCTTTATAAATTTAAAACTCGATATTTGTATATTTTTGTTTGATTATATAATTATATTATATAGTTAACCTTCAGCATCTTCTCATATTTGAATCTTTATTACTATAGCAGCAATAAAATGTTTTCATTCAACAAATAGTATGTGAAAAACGAATAAGAAACAAAAAGAAAAAAAGAAAACTCAAAAGTTTATTATTCGTCTATAAAAAAGAATAACATAAAAACGCAATTTCCATAAGTGAAAATGTTTGATTTTTTATTTTATTGTTTTCTTTTGTTTTTTACGTTTAAAATGAAAAAAATTTAAGTATAGATTTATTATTGTTTTTTTTTTCATGTTATTCTTCTTTAGAATAAAAATAAAATTTAATATTATTTATACAATTTATTTAGGAGACTCCAATTGATAGAAGAAGATCTCAACGAGTTGTACGTGTTCTACGTGATGCACCCTATCGAGATTATGATGATTATGATGATGATGATGTTTACTATGTAGAACCAACATCAACACGTCGATCAAAAGTAGTTCGAAAACCACCACCACCACAACCAAGAGAATATGTTTATGTTGATGAATCTCCATCATCAAATCGTCATCATCGTTCAAGTCGTCGTGAAGTTGTTTATGTTGATGATGACCGACCAATTGAATATGAAGATGAATATATATATGTTGATGAAAATGGTAATGAAATTGATTTTATTGATGATCAACATCCATCAAGACAATATATTGAATATATTGATGATAATGATGATAGAGATCGACGACGATCACGTAAATCTAAAGTAATCTATGTTGATGATGAACCACCAATTAATCAACGACGAAATAGATTAAAATCTAAACAACCATCATCAACAAGAATTGTTTATGAATAAAATAAAACAACGTTCTTTTTTTCTTTTTTTCCTTTATTATTATTATTATAATTCATCGAACAGACAAAAAAAAAAGAAGAAGAAGAAAGAAAGCTTATGTCTTTTTATGTCGATACATGCTTAGGATATGGGAGTAAAGCTGTTGGTGAACGACGAGAAAATGTATGTCTTGATTTTTTCTTTTGAAAATATTTCCAAAGAAATAATATCATTAAAATAAATAATATAAAAATTAATAAAATTATAAATAATATTATATGTTTATATATTTTATTTTTTGAACAACCACCTTTTAATTCAATATTAAAACATTGATTCCAAAATTTATACATTTCATCAAAATAATTAACTTTAATATGAATAGATTTTAAAGAAAAATATAAATAATTATGTTCATTGTTTTTATATGGTTTCCATTGAACATTCGATTTATCAATTGAGGATAATGAATTTTTATTTGGATCTCTATTTAATAATAAAAGTATAAATAAAAATTAGATACAAAAAATCTGAATATACCCAGTTTTAATAAAGTTTGTCCAATAACGAATTAATTGTCGACTAAAATTTTCTTCATCAATTGAATAATTATAATAACTCTTATTTACATTTTCATGTATATAAGAATATTTACGTGCTAATGGTACACCAAAAACATAATCTATTAATATAGAAATATATTTAGTTTTGAAATTGATAAAAAATTTTCTATTATTTAAAGTTTAATTAATAAATTTTCAAATGAAATTACGAAGAAAAGAGTCTTTGATGGTTATTACTAAATGGATCTACGCATTTGTCTAATATTATCGAATAGAATTATCAAATTTTCCATGATGATAGGACAAAGTTTGCCTTCTTAATGGAAAAATAATTATTATACAATATCTTTTAGATGTCTTTCCAGTACATAAACAAAGACACAAAAAGAAAAATCATCTGGTATCACTAGAAAAGCATAGTCGTATGAAAAACTTCTTTTCAATAAAGTCTTTTTCTTGAATGCAGATGTATGAAATTATTTTGATGAGAAAAAAAAAACTATTATCTAATGATATAGATGATGTTGAAATGTAATCTATATATATATAATGTTAAGTGTCTGTTTCTCTGTGCCAGATTAAAGGTCGAATACAGCTGTAAGAGGAAGTCCCAAGGGCTACTTATTGGGAGCTCATAAGTCCTCAAGAGCCGTTCCTATGGGGGTACCCAAAGGTCGTCAAGAGCTATCCTATGAAGGTACTCATAGGTTCTGAGGAGCTATCCTATCGGGGTATCCATAGGCCCTCAAGGGCTATCGTATAAGGGTATCCGTAGGCCTTGAAAGGAGTAAGGCTACCTGGACTATAAAGATACGTGCGATATAAGAGTATGAGACCGTAGCTATCTATCTATATACATAATATCGAGTGTGTGTATTTCTGTTACCGGATGAAAAGTTAATTGTCTGACAAGGGAACATTCCCAGGTGTTGGAACGCTTTTGAGTCGGGACTTTGC